GGGGCAAGGTTTGGGGTTTAAGGTTCAGGGGTTTACAGGAGCTTTACTTCCTGTTTGGGGTTGGTGTGGCTTGTCGTTTGGGATCCTTTTGCGTCCCCCTCCGCACTCTTTCATCATGTTTTTTGGATTTGCCTGGGCACCAGAGTTTAGAAGGAAAGTCACAGTTGCAAGGTGGCCGCACTCGGCTGCTCCATCCCATGCTTCGTTATTACCTTCATGCGCCGCAACCCTAAACACTAGTCGTCGTCGTAGCAGCAGTAGTAGGAAGAAGCGTAGTAGTAGCAGCAGCAGGTCACCGTTTTGGTTTTCAAACAAATTAAATGCGAAGATTGTCTGTCATAGCTTTTCCGAAGTAGCCAAATTCACTGAAGTTTGCATTATTTTGTTGCTTTAGATGGGGTTACCTAGTGATTCAGGATTACAACCTCGCCTCCCAAATCTAGCCACCAAAACCAATCCCTGGGCTGAGCCTAACTCGCCACAAACCTAGTGACCTCATGTTGAAGCCGGACAACTACCAATATCATGGTCCCTCTAGGGGTATACCATATCAGGTTAATATTATGGTCCCAAAGGGGACCAACAGTAATGTGCAGGGTTTAGGGTTTAAAGATAATGGAGCATCAGCTGGAAAAGAACATGGCAAATGAACCTGACACTGGGTTTATTTTTGGGTTTTGTAGGGATAGTTACCAATATCATGATGGCAAGTTCCTTATATAGTTGTCTTCTAGGGTACCTCAAATACACTTCAAAACTACATTGGTATTGGCCCTTGGGCCCTTGGGGCAATCTCAAACCGAGACCTGATCCGTGCCCTCGTGAAACCCGCTCGCTAATGATCAACATTGCAAGGACAAACATTCCATTTCATGGTAAGCGGAGCATTCATCATTACAGGGTGGGTACGTATTTCCTAGCCCTACAGCCTAAATCCTAGGTAATGAAGTAGTTTCAAAATTCGTTTCTACCCCCACACAACCCCGATTCATTTCTAGGGGAGGCGATAGATCCCTGGACCTGAAACCCTAAACCATACACCGACGTTCTGCTTTTTCGAGCTGCAGGTGCATCGTCTTCTGCGCGCAACAGGCAAGGCCTGGATGCGACTTTGGGGTTGCGGTTAGGGTTGTTATATATATGAGTGGTTGTCAAAATTATGGTCCCTTTTTGGGCACCCTAAATAGTAGGGGCCGTATTGTAATAGGGAACCAAAAAGGGACCATAATTTTGACAACCACCCATATATATATATATGGTAGCCCCCCCCCAAGATCTACGCCTAACCTGTTTTATCTTCATGAATGCTTCATGTGCCATCTTCGTGAACATATTGTATCAGCCGAAAACACTGTAAATAGCGATGAATCCTATACTTTTGAATGAAATTAGTCATAT